AGAGCGTTGGGATTGGCACCGGAAATTATCGGCAGGGCATTTTCTTTCTTTGAGACACATTAGAGAACAATTACCTCAGGATCTTGTTGATTCTTATGATAACTTCCAAGAGCAAGTGGACAAGCATTTAAGTCCTGTCAAAGCTAGAAAGGCATTGGAAGAAGAAGAAAAGAGGATGGAGGAAGAAGAGGAGCGGAAATATGCTAAGAGAACAGTTGAGGACCTAACGAGGCTATGTATGAAAGTTGATGCGCCCATAGAACTTGTTAGGAAGGCAGTTAGGCTGGTTGGATTTACAAATCACATGGGACGGCCGAGGCCAATCAGTTTACTCACTGCTCTTGAAGATGCTGATATTGTTAAGTGGTACGCAGGTGTTGGAAGAAGGTGGCTTGATTTCTTCTGCTGCTGTCATAACTTCAAGATGGTTAAAACTATTGTAAGTTATCATTTGAGATTCTCCTGTATCTTGACATTAGCAGAAAAGCACGAAACCACCAAACGTGAATCGATTAAGCATTACAGTAAAGATTTGAAGATCTTCGACATGTGTGGAAACGGAGAAGTGCACTTCCCCACAGAGAGGGATGTAAAGATGATGGGAGATATGAACCTTTCTGATCCGAAACATGTGGATGGTGCTTTGTCTTTGGCTTTGATTAGATTGGCTTCTGACGAGCCTCCATATTCTTGTGTTGCTCATTTCTGCGAGAGAACTGATACTACTGTTTATCGACTAAGGTTGATGCAAAAACTGCTGAATGTGAACCCACTGGACGAAGAGAAATGGGTGCGGGGAATGGGTGCTATTCATGATAGCCTCAATCTGAAATGCCTTCCTCTCTGTCCTGATCACATACATGATTTGTACATGGGAAAAATCACCCTTCAGGACATTGATTGTACCTCATTCCTGGATGTGGACTGATGGTGTTTCATTTTATTATTTGGTTCTGTTATTGCTTACTGTTGATACATTAGACAGCAAATTTATCAAAGAAATACAAAGAAACTTTCGAGGGTAATTCTTTTTCATCCCAATTTACTCTAGGTTGGTCTTCATTTAGGGTAGTTTATTAGTACTAGATTGTCGATCGTAGATGGAGTGACATGGATATCATTGATGATCGAGGACTTTGAAACGCAAGGGCCTGGTCTTGAAGCTGAAACTTTCTGCATCTTATCAGAGAAACTGAGAATGACGGATGACCAACTCCATGTTGAGACCCTTTCGAACTTTTTCTTCCATACTACACTGTCATGGTTTTTTCTCCTGTCTCCCGGGCTGACATGCGAAGAGGCCTCTAGTTATTGATTGCTTTTCCTCATGGTAGGATTTAATTTTTTGGGTGTGCAGTTGATCCTCCAGGAACTTGGAAAATAACCTGCACAAATGCTTTTAACCATGGAACAATGGAGTAATTTGTTGTTGGCTAGTGGGATGAAGTTGAATACACAAGGAGAGTTCCGAGATAGATGAAAGTTGAAGAGATTTATGATTTAAAGAAATGCTGGATCGGTTTCTTATCAAGGAAATGAAGAAAACAGAATACAGTTATTTGAATAAATTTGATATTTTAGTTTTGTCACGATGAACAAAATGTATTAACTCTTCTCACCTGATTTAATCTATTTACTGAAGTCATTGCCTGGTTGAGAACAATATCGTCATGCCAAATGTAACCTAATAAATAAATTGGATATTGTTTTTAGTAGGTGACAACTTGATTCCCATTCTTTGAGCGGGTAACAAAGGGCAACTTGACACAACAAGTTAGAGCTATGAAACCTTCTTTTCTCATTAAACTCGTTGGATTATGAATGAGATATTTATGACTTGTTCTTTTAGAGTTTAACTTGAGTATAATTTTTGAGTTGAATTTGAGTTATAACTTGGGCTCTGTTCATTTTACCGATTCGAGTTTAGAATTCGAGTTTTATTACAATAAAAAGCTCTCAGAATTAGTCACATCTAACTTTTTGCTACAGTAAAAAATTCTCACATAAAGTCACATCTCAACTCGAATTAGTGAACTGAACAGGCCCTTGAGTTGAACTTGTAACTTGAGTTTGTGTTTGGTTGTGTACATTTGAGTTATGGTTTAAAATAATAATCTTTTTGAGTTTGTGTTTGAGTGAGTCAAAACTTGAATTTGTATTTAGATAGTATTTTAATAAAAACTCAATGTTGATGAAAAATTTTAATAGGGTATATGAGTCGGGTTTTATTCGTCTTTTCGTTGTTAACGCATAGAAAAAAAAAATCATCTCAATCAAAATTAAAACAAAAAAGTTATAACATTTTTAAGAATAGAAAAAATACTGTTCATTAATTTGAGTTCGAGTTTTTGAACTCGAATTGAAGGGGAAACTTGAACTCGAGTTTTAGTTATAAACTCGAGTTTGAACTCGATTTTAAACTTAAAAGAACATGAACTCGAATAAAGTTGTAACTCGAGTTGTATTTTTTTAAATTTTTCACTCAAAAGAATAAGTCCTTAAATGTCAAGTTGGAGGGTGTCCCAACCCTCCTCTGGATGCCACTTTCAGCTTACAGAGGCCTGCCCCTCCCGCGCGACGACCCCTGGAAGAAACCACAACTTCACGAAGCCACCATGCGACCTCTCATCTTCAGCGACATCTGTTGCAGAGTACTTGTCTAGACTCTCGAGCACTCGTCGATTGCCCCGCTAATAGAGAGAACCTTCTGCAGAAGCAGAAAATGTCAGCTCGTGGATTCTAACACTCTTTTTTTTAGTTATTTCGTTCTCCAATTTCTATTTAAATAGAATCCTTAGGAAAAGCATTTCATTTGGACCGAGTTAAAAAATTTATTGATCTCTCTGGTAAAACCAAAGTCATTGTTTAATAGCTAATTTGTTTTAATTTCCCCTATTAAAAGGACTCCATGAAACAGTTTTGGGACTAACTGTGCCAATTACTCGATATTAATTTGACACTAAATTGGCTGATTGTTTTACTATAAAAACAATGCTTCTTTGTTACGCAACGAATGTGGGACTGTCTTCAAGGGCACTTCTTCTTCTTTTTATTTATTTATTTTTTTTATTCTGGAGGTTTGTAACGCCAAAAGGGCATTGGGGGAAAAGAAAAATGGTTTCAGTACTGATGCTTGGAGTTTTTATATAATGTTTGTATCTTATGAGTGGAAAAGCTTATCTTCTAAGAATCTTAAACCAAAAACACCAGCAGTTGAGTAATAATAAAAAATAAGATTGGGTTGGAAACTTCAAAAAAAAAAAAAAAAAATCAATTTTCCATGAGAATTCTCGCTGCTGTTTTGGATCAAGAAGAGGTAATTGGCTGAGAACGATTCTCTACGGCTGAGATGATCTTTGGTACCATCACGCCGTTGATCACGCTCCGATCTCACGGTCATGATTCATCCACCAGGTTGAGATTCCTGTCTCCTTAGAACTCAAGGATACAGAGGTGCGAACCTTAAGAACAGATGCTGTTCAAGTAAAGTCCCAATCAGTCGGCCCAATAAAAGCATATAAAAGGCGCTTCTGTTTTCAGTTCGCAGTCGATGTGGGACAAAATGTATGCAAAACATACCTAATAAAAAAAAAAATTGTGGTCTTATTAATTATTATACGCTGGGTTTGTCGGTGCCGCCAAACATGATTTTTTTTTTTTTTTTTTAAGAGTTGGAAAACAATAAATGGTTTTCAATATTATCATTAACCATGTTGAATCAAAATAGTCCATTATAAAATAACTAAATGTATACAAATATACGTCTGTATGTATGTCAACATATATATGTAGAAACAGAGTTGGATTTTTTTTTTTTTTTTTTTTTGAAGGAGACACGAGTTAAAACTTTAACGAAACTACTAGTGCAAATTTAATAATTAACTTTTTTTTTCATCAATGTATATAGTTTTTTTCTCTAAATAAACCACAGTTATAATTCAATGTAATTCGATTTTTAAAATTCAAATAAAAAGTCTATTTAGTTTATTTAAGGTTTTAGAATTTGAAATAATCCTGTCATCACAAACCAAAACTAATTACTTAATTGAACCTTTATGAAAAAAAAAAATCAATTATAATTGCGCTAATCGAATCTATCAAGAGCTTCTATTAAATTCTTAACTAAAAAATTAAAGTAAAAAAAAAAAAAGAAATTATATTTTTTAGATGATTCAAGTTAAACATTATATCACACATAAATTGAATGTGTGATATATTTTTTTATTGTTAGAATTAGAATAATACTACATCTGCATTGTAAAAATATATTTTATAGAATATAAAATAAATTGTTGTATGTGTCATGTGGGTAGTCAATTAGAGAAACTTATTTTGATTTTTAAATACCCATTTAATTTTTAAAAAAAAATAGATATATCCAAATGTGTGTTTCAATCATAATGTATGTTTTTATCGAATGTTGTATTTTTATAAATAAAATGGAATATGCTAAAAGAAATATTTTAATCTTGAGAAAACTAATTAGGGTGTAATTTAGAAAAGTAAAAAACGTTAACTTTAAGCATATTTGAGCATCATTATTTTATTAGTGTCTTTTTAAATATATATATATATATATGTGATTTTCTATTTACATGCTTGACCTTTATCTATATTTTTTCTCATTTTTTTTTTTTTGAAAAAACAAAACTATGCATTCTACCTGTGCTAATTGTCTTTTTTTTTTTCTTGTAATCAGTCCAAGTATAACATATACTAAGATTTAATATACATTTCTTGTCTGTAATGTCTTTTTCACTTAATAATTAAAAAATATAAATTATATTTTTTTAAACAAATATGTCTATATATTGAAATAACGTTTTTTTTTAGTAGATTTATTGAAAGAACGTTATGCATGCATTAAATAACTATGTATTGGAAATGGTTTTACTTTTAGGAGGGAATTACTAAAAAGAAAAAGCATTGTGGATTTAAATGGTAAAGAGAAAACAGAAGAAGGCCTATAAAACACAAACAAATATTTAGGGACCATTAGTAAAAATAAGTTTTTATACTTTCACCAAAATCCACCTCTTTAAGGGCGCATGCGGATCAGGGGAAAAAAAAAAAGAAAAATTTTATATTGATACCGTATATTTTAAAATAATTATCTTTTAATATTTTATATTTTTAATAATTTTAAATTAATACATGACGTTTTGATACATCGTATTTTAATACTTTAAAACATTTTTTAAAATGTAAAAGGTCATTTTTACCCTCTTCATTAATAAAATAAAAACCAATAATTTAGAAAAAAATTTAAATGTATTAAAAAAAACTCTTTCAATCCCTCTCTTATTTCTTTCTCTACAAAAAAATCTCTAGAACACAGATGAATCTAAAGCACAATGCATAAAACAGATACAAATTTGAAATAATCAGATCAACTCAAAAAAATCAAAATCAAGTCCAAGAACACCAAGAACCCAAACAAATTAAAATCCACTATTCTTTCAGCAAGCTCAGAACAAATTGTTAGTCTCATCTTCTTTCTCACCAAAACCCAGACCTGGGAATTATTAGATCTGAAAAATCACGTAGAAATTTCTTTTTTTTTTTTCTTGTAATCAGTCCAAGTATAACATATACTAAGATTTAATATACATTTCTTGTCTGTAATGTCTTTTTCACTTAATAATTAAAAAATATAAATTATATTTTTTTAAACAAATATGTCTATATATTGAAATAACGTTTTTTTTTAGTAGATTTATTGAAAGAACGTTATGCATGCATTAAATAACTATGTATTGGAAATGGTTTTACTTTTAGGAGGGAATTACTAAAAAGAAAAAGCATTGTGGATTTAAATGGTAAAGAGAAAACAGAAGAAGGCCTATAAAACACAAACAAATATTTAGGGACCATTAGTAAAAATAAGTTTTTATACTTTCACCAAAATCCACCTCTTTAAGGGCGCATGCGGATCAGGGGAAAAAAAAAAAGAAAAATTTTATATTGATACCGTATATTTTAAGATAATTATCTTTTAATATTTTATATTTTTAATAATTTTAAATTAATACATGACGTTTTGATACATCGTATTTTAATACTTTAAAACATTTTTTAAAATGTAAAAGGTCATTTTTACCCTCTTCATTAATAAAATAAAAACCAATAATTTAGAAAAAAATTTAAATGTATTAAAAAAAACTCTTTCAATCCCTCTCTTATTTCTTTCTCTACAAAAAAATCTCTAGAACACAGATGAATCTAAAGCACAATGCATAAAACAGATACAAATTTGAAATAATCAGATCAACTCAAAAAAATCAAAATCAAGTCCAAGAACACCAAGAACCCAAACAAATTAAAATCCACTATTCTTTCAGCAAGCTCAGAACAAATTGTTAGTCTCATCTTCTTTCTCACCAAAACCCAGACCTGGGAATTATTAGATCTGAAAAATCACGTAGAAAATCTAGAAATGTTAATCTACAAAGATTAAACCTGTTTGGGTCGCCGGAGTTCCGCAGATGGGCTGGGCTCGGGGCTGGGAGGGGTCACGACGGATGGGGTCAGGGTTGCGACAGGGCCGCGTCGAGGCTCGGTTTGGGGCTGGGCAGGGTCGCAACAGCGGCAGAGAATGGATGTCAGAGTTGCGCGGGTAGGGTCGGGATTGCAGCGGGGCTGCGCCGGGGTTGGGCAGGATCGCGATGGCAGCAGATGGGGTTGGGCTTGCCGGTGGCTGGTCGCCGTGACTGGGCTCACCACAGATAGAAGAGAGAGAGGGAGTTATTCGAGAAAGAAAGAGAGAAGTGAGTTATTCGAGAAAGAAAGAGAGAAGTGAGAGAGAGCGAGTTGGTTGAGAGAGAGAAGAGGACGAGGGTATGGACTCGCGAGAGAGAGAAGAGGAGAGAATGTCGAGAAGAGAGGAGAGAGAAGATAGTGTTTGAGAGAAAGTTGTTTATTTTATGTTTTTATTTTTTTTTTAATTTTTAAATGTCTAAGGTTGCGTTTGGTATGAGGGTTCTAGAACCATGATTTTGATTCAAACCTTTGTTTGTTTGTAAAAAGTAAAAAATGATTCTTAAAAATCAGTGTTTAATTTGGATGGTTCTGGTTTAATGTTTGAATCCTGATGTGATCTTTTAAAGCAGAAGCACCCCACAAAATAAAATCACCCCCCTTGATTTTGGATGGTTCAAACCTCTAGTTCTGATTCCGGTTTCAGAACTATGGTTTGGACCCTAAGTTCAAACCATAAATCATGGTTCTAGTTCTAAAACTAAAACTACCCTGATTTGAACCATCATACCAAACGCAACCTAGGATTATTTTCTAGGGGACCTTCTTCAGTATGCCAGTATACCCGTAGGTTAAGTATTATGTTCATCGAATTTATATAAAATCACGTAAAAGTCAAAACATACACAGATCTAACGATTTAAAAAATCTGATCTGCCGGTACACCAAGCATACTAGAGAATCTCCGTATTTGTAAAATTTTTCTTAAATTTATTCATTTTTTGGTTAATTAAAGTGAAGGGCATTGTTGACTTTTTACATCCCAAAAAAGAGCCTTAATGTACTAAAAAACGATTTATCAAAATGTCAGGATACCACTTTAAAATTATTAAAAACACAAGATATCAAAAGACAATTACACTAAAACATAGGGTATTAATATGAATTTTTTTCAAAAAAAGGCACATGTGTAAAAAACTTGGCGACCTAACAAAAAATTTGAACTTAAAATTGAGAAAAACAAAAAAGATTATTTTCATAAATCCCCCTCGAACAATGGATCTTGTTTTAAAGTACCCTTGATTTTTTAAAATCATTCATTATACCTCCTGATATATAAAAAATAGTTCAAAATACCCCTTCTACCAACATCCGTCTATAACTCTAACAGATAATTGACGTGGCATATCATTACAAAATTAACTAAAGACATTTAATTCAAATTAGTTATATAAAAATATTAAATATTAAGAAATGAGTAAAAACAATTTTTTTAAAAACTAACATTTAATTGCACCCAAAACAAACAAACTCCCAAGTTCCAACCTCCTCCCCACCATCGCCTTTAGCCCGACGGACTTCGAACGCACCTTCAGCCCGGTAGACCCCATCGCCGCCACACTATGCCTCAGACCTGCACGAACACATCTAAGATCAACATGTGAGGATATCTGTTAGTCGAAAACCAACTCTCTACGAAAGCTGTGACAACGTGACTTCTCCCATTTGTGAAAAAGACGACGGCGTTCTCCATCATCACCTAATCGCGACCTTGCCTTCATCGTTGTATGTAATATATTTCAAATAAAAGGCTTAATATGTTTGCAATCTTGTATTACAAGGATTAATACAATGGTATATATACAATAAGGTTCCAACGGTTTCTGATACGACTAAAACATCATTTAGCTTAGGATTGCCTTGCGAGGTCTGAAGCAAGGCATTACCTATATGAGTGATTGGTAAAGACTACCCATTTCCAATAAAGATTGAATCTTTACCAAAATAAGGTTTTAAAGATGTAAGGTTACCTCCTTTATTTATCATGTGAGCTGTTGCATCCGAGTCGGCATACAAATTTTGGTCACTTTCACTGTTTAAGTTCATAGTTGCCAAAGCTTGTTAAGTTTTTGTCTCTTCAAGAACATAATCATACATATAGTAGCATTTGGTTGTAGTGTGATTAGTTCGTCCACAGATTTGGCAAGCTTCCTTGTTGTGAGTTGGCTTTCTTGGTCCTTGTCCTTTCCAATTATTAGTGTTATTGAATTTCAACTGAGGTTGGAAATTTGAGGATTGATTATTGTTATTGTTGGGCCAATTCTGAGAAAAAGGAGTTCCAGCCTCACCCTCTTGATTGACCTCTTCCTCTTTGTTGATCTCTTCCTTTTCCTCTTTCTCTTTGGCCAAGAAATGCTTGATTGTGATCAAGTTGTTGCTTTTCGTCCACTAGATAAACCTGTTCATGATTCTGTAACGACATTACAAATTAGTTGAATGATGGCTATGGAGGTTTCGATAATACATCAACTTTCAAATCTTTGTATTTCAGGCCAAGCCTTTTTGAGATTTGGAAAACTTTATCTATATCTGAAAAAGGCTTTCCGATTGCTGCCAGTTTGTCACAAATACTCTTGAAATTTCAGATGTACTCGCTAAGGGAAGCGACCCTTTGGTTAAGGCATATAAGCCAATTTTAAGTTGAGATTCATTCTCCTCAGTGTTGGGCAATAGTTGTTCTTAGAGAGAGTTCCAAACAAGAACACCTTCTTCACGAACTGTCACAAGCCCAGATCCGTCCTTTACCGATGCGCCACTATGCTAGATCTCCCCTCTCCATGGCTTCCCTCAAGAGCAGGTAACGTATTTTACCAACAACTTTCCCAATCTAAAGTTGAGGATGTCAAGATGCCATTGTTGAGCTTAACAAACTGTGAGTGTTTTTGCAGGTCAATCTGGGAGCTCAAATTTTCCAATTGAGTTTGATGCTTTTCTTTTCTTTTTTTTTTTCTGCAAATTGAGTTTGATGCTTGACGTTCCAATTGTTTTTTTTTTTTTTTTTGATGAATTGTTCAAATTGTATTGTCATCACTTGATTCTTGATTATTGGGTTGAGTTTCTTCATTCGGGGATTTTTCTTTTTTGAAAATTTATTACCTTTTTATCTTTATATTCATGATTTTTTATTAATTTTGTAGTACTTAATCTCATGGTTTAGCTAAATGAATGTTTTAATATTTTAAAATTAATGTCACGTCAGTATATCTGTTAGTATTATTGATGGACTTTAACGGAAGGAGCATTTTGAAATGTTTTTTTTTTTACAAATTGAGGGGGTGTAACTATCTCGACCCCAAAGGAGGGACCGTAATTATTGAGATATAATTAAAGAAAATTAACTTAATTAAACTGAATTGATTAATGAAAATCACGAAAATAAGTACATAAATGTCAAAATATATAGTTCCGGAACCTTTCTTTTACAAATAATACTAAAACAATTCATAATATTCAAAACTTATACAATATGGGACAATGCCGACCAATACATATCATATACAGAAATACAATACAACTTTAGAATTTTAAAATAAAACTGTAAAATCAAAATAAAACAAGTCACCTCGTATCTCGAGCCTTCAATCTGTTGGCATCTGCTTACCACGCTACAAATCAACTGCTAAATCTAGAGGGGGGAAAAACATTTAAAGCAGGGGTGAGCCAAATGTCCAGTAGGAAAAAAAAAGGGATGACGACAATAAAACAAGAAAGGTGAAATAATCATAAAGACTCGTACACCATCGAAAATAAAATGCATAACTCAAATGCAGGAGATGATAATATGTGAAAAACACCTAATCATGACTGATGCAGTCAAATATAGAGTCAAGCGGATAATCAAGTATTTGAAAGCTCTTTCATAATACTAAATCATTTTCAAATCCATTTCAAAAGTGATAAGGTACCCGGTGTCTAAGTAGTCTACAAATACTGGGTATTTGTAATTCTATCAGACACTAGGATATCCAAGTAATTTAGAGATAAAAGAAAGATAAAGATCATACGCCGGTAGTTTGAAATGTTCTTTCAAAGTACCGATACGTAATCTAGTGCAAAGCCTTGATATCACCACCCATACTATGAAAGTGGTCCTTACAGGTTTCAAGACCTACCCCCAATGATACGATCTCCATATCCCGATCTCTAGGCCATGATGCAAAATTGTAAATCCACTACCTAAATGCTCATTAGACAGCGTTTGAAAACTTAAATATATCATGCTCGAATTATCTCCAAAAATCATGATTCGTAAAAGTCAGGTTTTCCATATATATATAATCGTTATATATATATATATATATATAGAAATATACTTTTTCAAAATCATTTTTAAAGTCTCAACATTGGTGAAAACTAACTTTAACACTGAAAAATGAAAATCCATGAAATATATCCAAAAAGGAAGAGAAATGCAATCTCATGCTCAAACACGATCAAAACTCAAAAAATGAATATGCTAAATTCAATAATCTGTAAAATATCCATGAATGCATAAACAACAATGCAAAAGTGTCGTACTCTAATAAGATCCATTAAGTCTCCTTGAGATATCATAGTTATCAAGTGTTGGTGTTATCCTCTTTTAACACTTTTCGTCGTATTCCCTTTAGAACATGTTAAACAACCACAAAGGCTCCAAACTACTAATCATTCAGTCATAAATCAGTTTCTAACTCGAATCCCTATTCTTCATAACTCTAGTAAATTAGCAGTTTCATCGACTTTGACGGGAATATATATAAATTATTATCTAAGTCGGTAAAAATTCCAAAATGAACTCAATAAGAAAGTAGACACGTAGATCTTTCTAACGAGTTATTATATGCCCAAATCCAAGCTCTCTAAATGCCTCAAAAATAGTTTTTAAGAAATGAAAATTCTGTTCTTTCCTGGTTTTGACAGCTTTTGAAAAGTTTCTACATGAAACTTACAATGCGCACAACTCGGGTTACAAAACTCCAAATGACGTGATTTTAACTCCCACACATCACTAATAACATGTTCTAAATGTTAGTAACATTGGTTTAGGTGCAACAATCCTATTTCAAAAAGTAAGGGTCTCAGTTCTTTGTTTTATCAATTTTTAGAAAAGATAACTTTGACGACCGTTACGGAAATAATCATAAAATATTTTACACAGCCTCAAAAATTACAAAATCAATATCTAATTAAAGTAGACATCTAGGGCTTTCTAAAGAGCTATCACAAGCTTAGTTTGGGATATGTTAGGGTCTCCAAAAATATATTATACCAGATCAAAACGTGGCTATTTTTCTGCAGAATTTCTAGAAATCATGCTTAATTTTAAAAATGCATAAATCGAGCTATAGCTGTCTGTTTGAGATGGTTCTTGCGGCTATACGAAGCTTATGACATCTAATTTAAGGTGCTAACAAGGTTAATACTCAATAACTTATCAAATAATTGTAGTTTTTTAGTTTAAACAAAAAGGGAAAGATAACTCAACTTTTAATGAAGAAAACCCTACCTCTAGCTTTCTTGATTCTCATATGCAATGCTTCCAATCCAAAACTTAATCTTCTTAAAATCTCATGAAAATCCACCTTCAAATCTTGAAATCAACTTTAAGGTTGAATTATCCATAAAAATAGAGTAAAGCCCTCTATTTAGAAGCTTGGACATCACCTCCCTTGGAGGGAAAGA